CTTTCTGCCCTTCTCTTGGTCACAGTGCACCATTACAAATGCGACATCTCTTAAAAATTTGACCTCAACCTGCTTCTCACTATATACCTACTCCTGAGGCCCTTTGTGTCCCCAAACCAGAGCCCTACCTTTGCCCCTGAGCTCCAGTTGCACATTCACAATGACCTGCTAGACACGACCCCCTTCTATGTGCCTGCTCATGTCTGCCCCCAACCTGGAATGTCTCTGCTTCCACCCTTGTTAATTCAGGAGATTAACACCTCCTGAGATGCTTCCTCCAAGATACCCTGAGACCCGATCAGTCCATTTGTAACTAACATTTCTTACAGGGTTTGGACTCCTTGCTACAATTAATAATTGTTTTTGTCAGGAGCAAAATCCTGACAAAAACAATAACTAATCTCCTTATAGATTTTTCTGAAATGGCTGTGGAAGTCCCCACGTTCTGGAAGATCAGGAAGAAATGACGACTGAATGATTTTCACATCACTCTTGCTCTCTCCACACCAACCACTGGGGTGGCCTGTGAACCCAAGCATCTGTTCTGCGCCTCTACCCAATCAGTGAGAAAGAATCAAGTGAGACTGAGGCTGCTGGTCAGAGTTGAAGGCTGGGAAGTAATGGGTTGAAGATCTATCCTGCCCAGTCAATGAGATCTGGGGAAAAAAGCCTTATTTCCCATTCTCCTTTCTTGTTATTTATAAATTGGGTGGTTTGTCGCCTGTTTACTTCTTTCTAGCCTTCTCAGCTGTGTTAGCCCTTCTCCGAGGAAGAAATGTTTATTGAGCACTTACCAAATGCCATGCACCACACCAGGCCCCTTGCAAATCCCTTTTAGCCCATACAGATACCTGGCAAGTATCAATGCCCTCATTTACTCCCCAGGAAACTGGCTAGGTAACTTGCTAAACATTAGAGAAGCAAGGAACATTGCAGCTCAGGATTGAAACTCAGTTGAAGTTTACTCAAAGATCACTATTCTTTTTCTACTGCACTACTCTGATTTAATTTTTGTGATCTATTAATACTATCTTTTTGTTTTAAAGCAATCATTAGTGCTTATTGGATGAAATAGAATCATCTGTGTTCTAATAAAAGAAAATATTTACATAAAACAGAATTAAATTATTGCTGTTTTATTAATGCTGTGTTGTCTTTCAAAGGCGGAGAATCCCTTTTCCAGGAAAAGCAACTCTGGGCCATAAAAGAGATTTGATAGGAAATAGCCAACAACTTTCAAGCATTTGGATGAGTTTTCACCTGGGACTTTCAATACTTCCTGAAATTCTCCTAACTTCACAATTGTCTTGGCTTATAATTTACAGAAGAAAGAATGTTTGTGCTAACAAGAAATGTAGGCCTTGGAAGGAAAATACCAAGCATTGAATGCAACCCCAGGAGACAAAGTCCTGGCTCGTGTGTTTTAGGAGAAGAATGCAGGAGTATCTGTAAGCTCTGAGCAGCTGATAACACATGACAGAATGCAGAGATGGGAACCCTGAGCAGTGCGGCACCCTCTGGAAGAACTGGGGCTTAGTGAGTCTGGGCTGTTATCTGCTCTGTCGCTAAGGAAGCCAGATAGGAACATTTTAAGGATAAAGTTAAGAGTGAAGAGTGATACACACAATCTTAGCAGCCTTTGCATGATACTCATCAGGAGTATTCTGATATCAGAGCAGCAATCCCATAAATGGGGAGTGATAAGAATAAAACCAAAGACTATTTTTCCATCTCCTTTAAACTTAAGAGAGGTAGAGAACAATTTGTCAAACACATGCTAACTTTGCAAGATCCCTGTACTCTCTCCTCCAGTGAGTCGTTTCCCACCTACACATGTCGTCCTCAGAGATCTGGAGGCTAAAGCTGTCAGAAAAGCGCAGATCACAGCCACAGTTTCTTATCTGGGTGGCCGGGTTGTAGTACGCTTTGAAATGTTGCCCCAATGTCCACAGTGAGAGAAGCTAGGAACAGACAAAAGGTGAGATTTTGTTAGGGGGTTGTTTTCCCCCCAGCCTTTCAAAGGTCTCTGTTTGAGCTCACCTGGTAGCACAAAAGCTATTTAATCACTCGAATGAGAGAGTCGGGTTGCAGGCTGTGTAAGCATGGAAGCCTGCAAGCCCTGCTCAGACCACCCAGCTCTCCAAAGGCTAGCAACACCAGATTCAGACAAGATAAGAGGCTGCAGTCCTATGTAACCTGGCCCAGAGAAACAGCCCTTCTGGAGAGTTAGAGGACCCCATTGTGAGGAATGACAGTGGGCTCTGTCAAGGTGGCATTTGTCTAACTCACCATAGCAGTGGTCTGGATTCTTTGTGAGAGGAAAAATAATTAAAAGGTATTTCTGAAAATGTTTGAAGACAAGCAATAAGCCTAAATCTTAGGGTCTGTTCTCAAACACTCAAAAGTTCTTATTCTACTGTATGCCAACTATACTTTAATGTAAAATTAAAAAGAAAAAAAGTTCCCATTTACCAATAACCAAGTTGGAAGACTGTGCTATATCCATAGTGTCAGAATACCAGAGCTGGAAGGGCATGAAAGCTCATTTAATTCAACCCTTTGTTTTATCAGAAGAAGTAACACTCAGAGAGATTAGGTGGCTCGTCCGAGATTGGTTAGCAACAGCCGAGATTTGAAACATCGTGAGCACAAAAGCCTGTCCACGCTACTCACAATGGTCATTCTGAAGACCTTGGAAACTAGCACGGAGCCTGGTACATAGCAAGCACCCCCATACAGAGTCATAAATACACAGTGCCATAAACAGTCAGTGGGGGTGGGGGCCAAATTCCTACCTTCACATGTTGTCAAATGAGGTCCTCAACATGATGGAGGAATTGCTTCCTATTTCTCCCAGTCCCTATAGTCTGGTTCAATCTAAACTCAGTTTCTAAGAATTAGACTGCTCCTGAACAGTCCCAAGAAATCTTGCTTAGTTCAGCCTAACTTACCCTAGCCCATCCCAGGAACACAGCATACCCAGAAGCTCATAAAGAATTAAGAACAGGCCCTGGCTGGTGTAGCTCAGTGGATTGTGCATGGGCCTGTAAACCAAAGGGTAGCTGGTTTAATTCCCATTAGGGCATATGCCTGGGTTGCAGGCCAGGTCTCCAGTTGGGGGCACGTGAGAGGCAACCATATATTGATGTTTTTTTTCCCTCTCTTTCTCTGTCCCTTCCCCTCTCTCAATAAATAAATAGGTAGATAAATAAATAAATATAAGGACAGCCCTGGGCTTAAAGTTTTTAAGACAAGCATGACTTGGCCATGTGGAGGAGATCAGACCGTACAGCTCAATGCAAGGAGGCAGGGGAGTATAATGTCCAGGTACCTTTTTGCCCGACATCCTTCTCACTCATGGGAATGGAAAGGGGAGCAAGGGAAAAAAGATGGGGGTTATTGGGAAAGCTGGTTAAAAAGCCCTGGTTTGTCAGCCAAGCATGCAAAACCACGTTGCACATACTCCTGTTCAACATCAGCTCAAACTCAAGTTTATTAATTGGATATGAGGTTTAATATTAACCAAGTACATGACAAGAATTTAATTGCCAATAACAAGGTACAGCAGTGCTTATCCAAGTGCGATCTCACCTGCATCAGAATCACCTGGGTAGGTTTCACGCCCCAACCCAGGTCTCAAATTTGGGGGGGCGAGAGCCTAGGCACCTACCTGCCTTTTCACCAAGCAAGCTGGTGGTTCTATGCACACTGAGGTTTAAGAGTCCCTGACTGAGTGGAATAGCAAAAGTAGTTAACATTTTCCTAGATTCTGCTAAAAGCACTTTGATCGAGGGTAGGCAAGGCACTTAGAAGCAACTCTTGGAGCTTTGACTGGGAGTATCAGTTTTCCAGAGCAGAAACATGAAGGGCATTCACCCCATTGGGTCTGGTCTGTGTGCAGCTCTGAAGAGGTTAATCTTTCCAGCAAGATTCCCACACCATAAACTCCTATCAGTCTCCGGAAATGCTCTTTTAAAGCTTTGTAATTCACGCCACACAACAAGACTGAGAGCAATAGTAAAAAGGAAGAAATAAAAATTAAATGCCTTAAAAACTATTCCTGTATCCAGATGAAAACTAAAAGAAACTATTTACTACATCAAAATCTCTAGAACACATAATTTTGTTAACCAGTGTCACCCCCAAAAATTCAGTAAAAAGACAAAATCTCTAGACCAAATCTGGGTAATAAGCAGAAAGGACTTAAAAATCAGTTCAAAATTCACAACAATATGATTTCTTTGCTTCTTTAATAATATCTCTAATCCCCATTAAAAACAAACAAATATATTTTTAAAAATACATAACCAAACATATCTAAACTAAAGCAAAGTTATCCAAAAATTATTTACAAATTTTCATATCTTTATGCCATGGTGTATGATCTGTTTTGTTAATTTTTTCATCTTTTCCCTTTGCCATTTCATTTAGCTCAGAAGAAACATTCTGATTTGGGGGGATGGGTATCACAAAATTTAAAAATGGTTATTTCATTGGTGAGCGCCATTAGAAATGGATTCAAAAGAGAGTTATAAGTTTTTGTTACCTAGTAAAGACAATCCCATTTTTTGGTGTAGGTTACCACTGCAAGTTACCACCTTCTGAGTTTACATGAGAATTAAACTTTGGCAAATAGACTCTATGTACTTCTTGCATCATTACTTGGAGTTCAGGCTACCACCCCACCCACAAACTGTGGGGCATTCTGCTAACAGAACATTCACAGTTCAGATGCGAGGAAGTAATAAAGCAGATACTTACAGATAGTGGTTTTTCTTTCCAAGCCCAAGAGTGAGAAACCCTTGGCGGGATCAGAGTCACTGACTGGTTAATCTCTGATTTAAAGAGCTTTGAGAGGAAGGGGGAGGAAAAACAACCCAGGGAAGGAAAGAGAGCTGAAATTCCAGTCTTTCAGGTCAGCTGAGTTTTAGCTTTCTTTGTACTAAATATCCATTAACCCACCCAAAAAGAAAATAGAGAACTGAAGTTTGCATACATACTTCACTATCTTTGCTGGTCTCCTCAGAGGCGGCTGTGGCGGCGGCTCTGAAAACTTCCCAGTTGCCAAGCCTCAGGACTCTCTCTGAGCCGGTCATGATGAGGATGCCTGCAACTGTTTGCAGGGAGCCCAACCTCCCTGGCAGAGAGCCACAGCCCCGCAGTCCCTTCTGCCGGTTGGGTCCGCAGGGACAAAACTGAGCTCTTGTTAATGAGGTCGGTTGCTTCTCTTCCTTGTCACTCCCCGGCTTCCTTTCTCACTATTAGTTATGTACTAACTGCGCTGCCACTGGCTGAGCCGAGGCTGCCACTCCGCCTGCAGCCCCCCTCTCACAGATGCAGCTCACACACACATACACACACGACATGGACACGGCCGCTCAAACACAGCACACATAGCTGCACACATGCTACACACATAGGCACCCACACGTGGGACACCCACATGAACACATTCGCGGGCTTGCACACACACATTCACACACCCTCACACCCATGTGCGTGCATTCTCACACACACAACACACACACGGGTACATGCACATACATACTCACACAGTTGTTTCCCGAACCTTCAACTTCTTCAAACATTTTCTCCCCGAATCTCCTTACTTCAAACAAATGCCCATTCTGGAATGTTTTTATTCAATTAAGACAAGATGCCCAGCCTTCACTCAGAAAAGAGGAAGACGGGGAACTGGTCCCTTTTAACTTTCGTCACAGCATTCAAAGGAAAAGTTAGGTGATTCTAGGTTTCTGTTTTTAGGTACTTAGTTCTTCAGTTCATAAGGCTTTTCATGAGTCTGGAACTTTTTATAAATCTGCAAAAGTCTCACTAACCTCATCTCATTTGTATATGGTTTCTGACCCCACTGATTCGATATAACACAGGTTAAGAAATGTCTTCTCAACAGAGGTTCATTTAGTTAAACTTATCAGGATTTGGAGGACAAGTGAGTCTTATTCCTTAATTGCATACTTAAAATAGTTTTCTGTATTTCATCTCCACCAGAAAAAAGGAAATAATGGCATACCACTTGGCCTAACTTTTAGATTGACCATATACAGAAAAGTTGGAGTATTATCTTCTCTGGGAGAGATGTATATATTTAGACATGTCTGGCTAGTCTAACCCTCAACCACAAGTACACAGTGCTACATATTCAATTCAACTAGGACTGTGGTTTCTCTAACAAGGTCACCACACCATACATACCCCTTTTGTTAGAAGAATGAGGAAAAAAGACAGGGAAATGGAAAAGGGAAGAAAATTATATAAGGAAGGAAGAAAGAAAAATAAATATGAATACAAAAGAAGAAAGAAAAGCAATTATTTTATTTTAAAATGTGTTTTATAGGTACTTCAGCAATGAATGCTACATATCCGCTTACTCAAAGTCACCAAGAATTTTAAATCTTCAAGGAATCTCTTGATTCAGCCCTGACCAATGTGGCCCAGTTGGTTGGACATTGTCCTACAGACCTAAAAATCACCAGTTCGAGTCCAGGTCAAGGCACGTGCCTCGGTTGTGGGTTCCGTCCCCCATCAAGGGGCATGTGCTGGAAGCCATGGGTTGAAGTTTCTATCTCATTTTGATGTTTCTCTCTCTCTCTTTCTCATTCTCTTCCCCTCTCTTTAGAATAAATATAAGGAAAAAATTTAAGCAATTTCTTTTTAAATTTTATTTATTTATTTTTAGAGAGAGGGGAAGGGAGAGAAAAGAGATGGAGAGAAACATTGATGAGGGAGAGAAACATCAATCAGTTGCCTCTCATGTTTGCCCCAGCCAGTGACCAGGTCCTCAACCCAGGCCTGTGCCCTGACCAGGAGTCGAACCAGCCACCTTTCGCTTTGTGGGATGATGCCCCACCAACTGAGCTACATCAGCCAGGAGAACAAAAAAATTTTAGATTCATTTCATTTGCTCTGAAAATAAATGCATAAAACTTCTTAATAAAATATTTTTTAAAAAACTCAAAGAAGCCCTGGCTGGTGTAGTGCAGTGGATTGAGCACGGGCCTGTGAAGCAAAGGGTCACCAGTTTGATTCCCAGTCAGGACACATGCCTGGGTTGCAGGCCAGTTCCCAGTAGGGGACACATGAGAAGCAACCACACACTGATGTTTCTCTCCCACTCTCTCTCCTTCCCTTCCCCTTTCTCTAAAAATAAATAAATAAAATATTTTCAAAAACTTTTTGAAGAATCTCTAAGCTTTTATAAGTAAACAAATATAGTTTACTAAACAGCTATTAGTAAACAATATAGTCACAATGTATGATTCATGTACTAATCTTTTTTATTATTGATTTCTTTTTTAAGGTAGAGCAAGAGAGAAACATTGATTTGTGGTTCCACTTATTTATTCATTCACTGGTTTCTTACATGTGCTCTGAGCAAGGATCGAACCCCTAATCTTGGTGTATCGGGGATGCTGCTCTAACCAACTGAGCCACCCAGCCAGGGTTTGTGTACTAATGTTGAAAGGACAAGATAAAGCTCTAATGACGCCAGAAACACACATGATAGAGAATTTTGTTCTCAGATTGAATTTAAAAGCTGTCCACCTTGTGAATATCTCAAATGCCAAAAAAAAAAAGTAAATGATTCTAGATGCTATTAGTTGAGACACCAAATCCATTTGACGAAGGATCCATAGTAGGTAGTCACATCAGTGTGCTTCTTCTCACATCTGGGCTAGAGCATATGAATTAGTTTAGAAACAGAAATAAAGGTTTTATGTCACTCCTTGGGAACATACCTTCAGCATTCTAGGCAAAAATTAACAAACTTAGATTGCAATGTACTCCAAAACACCTGCAGGAAATATCATTTTCATAAAGGTGATTATATACACAATGCTTAGTCAAACTTCTGCTGAGCATATTCTAGAATAGGACTATTGAAATCATATAATTATCAATATTAATAAAATATTCTTTGGACAAGTTGAAATGCAAAACCAAGGTATTTAAAAGAACTAGCCAACAAAGAAATAATACAGAATTCTTCCCCTAAAAGCACATGCTGCTGAACTTAGTTCTGGAACAAAATTGCATTTTAAGAAACTGTTCTGTGTCTAAACTTATGGCTGGAGTGATATGAAAAATATAAAGTGTCATTTGTTGGAGGCTTTTCAGATTATACCCTGAGTATACCTTTTCAGATTATAAACACACATGATTTTGTTGAGCTGCTAGAGAATGTAGCATTCTCTGAGCAGCACAGGCAGCACCTTCCCCAACAACCCGTATGGAGGAGTTAGGAGCGTGCCTGGTGGCGCTGCTGACAGCACCAAGCACAGACTGTCATTGCACTGGGCAGGTGGCTTTCCACGGGGTCAAAAAACTGGATGGCTCTGGGAAGCGATGCTGTGACAAAAGAAGACTGTCCATCCAAGGCAGCAAAGGACACACATACCCACATTGTAAAGAGAGCAACTTAAAGACAAACAAGTAAATCAAATGAAATCAAAGTGAATACCTCTGTGTACAAGAACAGAACAGATACACCTCCCGGCAGGAGGGTTTGGCAGTGGAGGCTTGCTGACCTCAGAGTTCAGAGCTCACAGGGTGGCTAGAAGATGACAGGAAATGAGACAATCCCTGGGCAAGGCGGGAAGAAGCTCTCTGCACGCCGCTGGAAATCACAAATGTGTAGACCAATATCACTTCTAAGTGTAAGTGTAAAACCCCAAATAAAATATTTGAAAATCTAACCTAGCTATGTATTTTAAAAGATATTATGATTATGATCGATAGGGTCTGTATCAGGATTGCAAGGATGGTTTACAATGAAGACACTAGCATTTTAAATTATTAAAAGAGAGAACAAGCCACACGCCCTATTATTAAATGCAGAAAAGTGGCATTCAGTAAAATTCAACACTCATACACTAAAGCTATACAAACCAAAAAAAAAACACCATTAGCCAACTAAAAATAGAATGGAAAGCTTTTTCCCCAATCAAGGGTATCTATCAAGAATCTCATGCTTAATGGCAAAATTTTGGCAACCACTAAAGAAGAATAGGACAAAAATCCTTGCTATAGTTCCCACAGCTCAACATTAGGTATCTGAACCAATCCAGTAAGTCAAGAAAAATAAAATTAGGCACGAGGATAGGAAAGGAAGAAAAGAAAACTTTTATGTGTAAAAAGATATGAGTCTCTATAAAATACCCTTTAAAAATCTTCTAAGTGAGGGTGTTGGAAAAGGTTTACCTAGGACTGGAAAGATATTAAAGGGACAGACTTTTCTAAACACATACACACTCACTCCAAGTAACACAGCAATTAATAACAGAAAAGTCTCTCTCCCAGCCATTTCCTTCATAACTGGAACTAATGATCTAGCTGAAAATCTAAAAGAATAAAAGATTCAAGTCCTCTAACTTTAGGAGGGGTAATACCCAAATCATATGCTTTCTGAATCTGTTTGAGCAAACATTTCCCGTTCTCCATATTCAAGTTTATTGCTCGTGAAAATGGAAACCTCAGGCTGAACATTCTACTCATTACATTGTCATTTCCACATGTACTTACTCAATTCAGGCAGAAAATCAGAAGAAACTGACTCACTCCACTCCACTCTGCCCCCACAATTAAAAGTCAAACAGGCAATGCATTTTTCTCATTAATAATTAACTTGAACACAGCTTCAAAAGCTAGCATAACAGTAAACACGCACTAAGAATTCTGCACATGATTACAGGAATGAAAATCAGGAATCCTCTTTATCTCCATCTTTTACAGGAAAATACATCAAAGACAACACACACTTTAATTTTAAGATGTTTTACATTTCACTATCTTTGTGAGATTTGGGGATAATTTGGTCTTTCACAGCTTAGCACCAGGAACAATTTTATCTTTCCAAACACAACACAAGGAGTTGAGAATCTTGCTGGACTGATTCTGGAAAAAATCACCTACCTCCCACTCTCAAAAAACGATGCATTTTTTTCATCATGAAAATTAAAATAAAAACAGTTGTTACATTTAAAAAACCACAACGGCTTAGCATAGGTCAGAACACTCTGAAGGTAACAACAAGCCCCCAGGCAAAAGATGCTCTTCACTCCTGGTCAGAGCACAGGACACAAACGCGCTAACAAAAGTCCCGGACTGGTTTGGAAAGATGAGGGTAAAGTCACATACTGGGTGTGTCTCACGGGAACCAGAATGCGCTGTTAAATTCTCTTCAACGAGGATCATACAATCTTTAACAAAATCTGTGCTAATCATGGGTGAGGCAGAGATGAGTAAAACCTCCTGGCTACTTTCAAAACTTTACGACCCAGTGAAAGAAGATAAAAT